TAAAGGCCTCACACTGGGTTGGCGACTGCCAGGGCGCAGGCGAGGCGAGTAACTCCTGTTCCCATCCCACGCCCCAGCAGTCGTAACGGGACCCACAGCCTGCTTCACTTACGGGGTAAGAGGGCGTACCCCTCCCCACAGCATTTCCATTTGTGATTAGTTGCTGGAGAGTTTTATTGGGGAGGGGGGAGGGGTGGAGGACTGGCAAGGCCCACCTCCCCCGAGCCGCCCATTGACCCTAGAGGGCTGAGGGGCAGGAGTTGATATGGAATCAATGCATGTCCATATGCCAGTGGGCCATGACTCCATACCTCCAAGGCCTCCTGTTGCTCCGAGATCCCCCATAGTTGAGCCTGGGACCACAAGGTATCCAGTTTCTATGGGTGGCCACAAGGAAGTACTGCAGAAGTCTCGATGATGGAGAGGCTATGAACTAACTGGGGAGGCCCATGCAGAGTTGCTCCCTTTTTCGCATTAGGCTAGCTAGAGGTGGCAGCTGCAAGTGAGAAGGCATGCAAGCACTTAACACCATATAGGCTACCACACCATCATTTCACATCACCCTGACCAAAAAACACCCGCCTAGTTAGATATTCAGATATTTTTCCCAAGCCTGTTTTAAGGCATGTAAATTGCTGTTTATCTAAACTTGTATTACAGGGGCTGGAATTCTTTGCCTAAAAGAAACTAGGCAGAATACATGGATATTGTCTGAATCAAAACATCAGATTCAAAGTTTCATTTTATTATTGAAAAGTCTTTTGAATATTGACATTGTTCACTGAAACTTTTGTACACAAGGAAAAAACATTTTCTCTTAGACATGATAGGTGGGTAAAACTGGAGCATGATATGCTGGTTCAGGGGCGTGATATGCTGGTTTAGGGGCGTGGTATGCTTTGACAGGGGCGTGGTGAGGGACGGCTGCGTGGGCGTCGTAGTGGGCCGTCCCCTCGTAGGAGACGGTGGGGTGGTAGCCAGTCTCGTCGGCGTAGTAAGTGACGGTCTGGACGCGGCCGTCGGGGAGGTGCACGAAGTACTTGCCCTCCGTGTTGTAGCCGTCGCGAGCCTCCGAGTGGCCGAAGTGGGTGCCGGCGTAGTCGTCGTTAACAGCATACTCGTAGGCGTAGTGTGGAGGCGTCTATAGAGAGTGGATATGACGTTACATGATATAATCGTTTTGACAGAAGGTATCCTTTTCAAGAGCCTTTCCTCTCATACTATAGATAACATGAAATCTTGAATCAAAACAACTGTTAAAGTGAAGAAAGTATAACTTACATCAGGATAAGCAGGGGCATATCCTTTTCCGTGATGTACAGGAGTAGCATGGTGCACTGGGGCAGCATGGTGTACAGGAGCTACATGATGTAGTGGAGCCGCAAGGTGATGTAGTGGGTGATGCACAGAACTCTTAACATGGTGACTGATATCGCCTGAAACGAGGGCGACCACGCCTGCCACCAGCACCAAGCCTACCTGTTGGTAAGGATAGAATAGCGTTGTTAAATTAAAGTCATTATGTTTCCCAGTTCTTAAAATTTCAAATATCACAGAAAGCATCATCTCACAGTCACTACCTTTTGCATCATGTTGAGGTTGAGAAGGGCCGCCCTTTTTATATAGCTGCCGTGCCGCTTGCGTTGACCGATGAAGGTCACTTTTGTGGTATCCGCCTGAAGGGAACTTATATAATTATAATTCAATCAAATATCAACTTCGCCCGCAGTCCAAAGTCTTCTTACATTAGAAAGTTAGCATTCAAATCATGCTAGCTTGCTATTACATCTAAATATTCACCAAATGCAGTGTACCAATCCGGACTAAAGAGCTTTCCACTTCATGCCTTCGTTCTACTATAATTCCTTCCTGTGGGATGTTCGTTCACTTCGCCATTGAGCAGCAGCTGTCTTATCAGCTGTGACAGAAGTAAAGAAGAAGGGATTATAAGAATTAGACGAAATATACCATTGCTCCAAATAGTGCGGCGAGAACATTGTTAGGAGATAAACTTTATTGAGTCTGTAATGGTGCATCTCGAAGGTAGTCAGTTACAATAACAACAATGTTGCAAATTAACCTATGTAGTAATTAAATAATCTCTTCAAATTGTGTTTGAAAATACAAGCCCCTTGCGTTACTTATTATTTTCCCTGTTTTAAATAAAGCAAAAACAAAACCTATTATTTGACCTGATAGCTCCGTCCATTGTTTTTTTTTTATTGAAACTTTTTTCATAATAAATTGAATCCTATTTTCTTGTTTCCTTTTTTTTTTTTTTTTTTTACATGAGACTACATGATAAGAAAGATATTCAGAATATTATATATATACATATATATATATATATATATATATATATATATATATATATATATTTATATATATTATATATATACATATAAATGTGTATGTTTAAAAGGTTTAGTTTTGATTCCATTTGTTACAATGGATATTCTTGGTGTGACATACTGTCTGTTTTATTTTGCTTCTAAGTTATCCCTTGTGTGCAAGGAATGGCATCCACTGGCGGCGAGGGATTCGAACGCAGGTCAGCAAGATTACTAGATGTGATCGCTACCGCTGCACCACACAGCAGTATACATATATATAGATATATATAGATATGCATGTATACATATGTATATATATATATATATATATATATATATATATAAATATATATATATATATACATATATATATATATATATATATATATATATATATATATATATGTGTGTGTGTGTGTGTGTGTGTGTGTGTGTGTGTAAGTATACATATATGTAGGTTAGAAAAACCCACAATGTAAAACTAGATTTATTGAAAGAGGAGACAACAGTTTCGGAATCTACCTGGATTCCGAAACTGTAGTCTCATTTTCAATAAATCTGTTTTTTACATTGTGGGTTTTTCTACCATAGTATCATCACGATGGAGTGTTTTCACCATCTATATATGTATATCTATGTATATATATGAATGTATGTATTTATATACAATTATATATGTGTGTGTATAAATGCACATGGACACACATATATGTGAGCATAAATATATATACTCATATATGTGTGTGTATGTGTGCGCGTGTATGTATCTATGTATGTACAAGCATTATACATAGAAACGTTTTTAGTGCAGCCCCTCAAGCAAATACAGTTAATGTCTTCATGGAGGCCGTCTTAAACAGAAATTTACCCAGATAGATGCTTAGCTATTTCCCCATGCCTGTTTTAGGGCATGTGAATTGCTATTTGATTAAATCCTTCAAATGAAATCTCAATGTATCCCTCTCGCTGTCTTTACACACATACGCACATATAAATACATATATTTATATATGTATTGAAATACATATATGTGCGTATGTCTGTTTGGCAGATTTTTCAAAGCAATAAAAAGTTGAAATAGAGAGATAAACATATTTGCGGAAAATCTCAAAAAGCACACATCACATCATGACATTTTGTGGATTGGCATACGTCTTGTGTCTTTTTTTGAAGGATCGTTTTTTTGGTGAAAAGATATCCTACATCCTGAAATATCCTATTATGAACACTTTTATGTGAACTGGAATTTTGGCTGAATAGACGGTTGTTGTTTGAATCAAAGAATCAGTTTGAAATTTTGATTTTATTATTCAAAAGTCTTTTAAATATTAACAAAGTTAATTGAACTTTCGTACTCAAGGAGTATTTCTGTAATCTTAGGCATGATAGGTGGGTACAACTGGTGCGTGATATGCTGGCTCAGGGGCGTGGTATGCTGGTTCAGGGGCGTGGTAAGCCTTGGCAAGGGCGTGGTGAGGGACGGCTGCGTGGGCGTCGTAGTGAGCCGTCCCCTCGTAGGAGACGGTGGGGTGGTAGCCAGTCTCGTCGGCGTAGTAAGTGACGGTCTGGACGCGGCCGTCGGGGAGGTGCACGAAGTACTTGCCGTCCGTGTTGTAGCCGTCGCGAGCCTCCGAGTGGCCGAAGTGGGTGCCGGCGTAGTCGTCGTTGACGGCGTACTCATAGGCGTAGTGTGCAGGCGTCTAAAGAGAGTGGACGTGGTGTTACGTGACATAACTCTTTGCTTCGATAGAAGGTATCCTTTTCAAAAAACTTTCCTCTCATACTATAGATAATATGAAAAAGTTCATAAAAAAACTGTTGACGTGAATTAAGTTGAACTTACATCAGGATAAGCAGGAGCATATCCTTTTCCGTGATGCACAGGAGCAGCATGATGTACAGGGGCAGCATGGTATACAGGGGCAGCATGATGTACAGGAGTAGCATGGTGTACAGGTGTAGCATGGTGCACTGGGGTAGCAAGGTGTACAGGGGCTACATGATGTTTTGGAGCAGCATGGTGATGTAGTGGGTGGTGCAGAGAACTCTTTACATGGTGACTGATATCGCCTGAAACCAGGGCGACCACGCCTGCCACCAGCACCAAGCCTACCTGTTGGTAAAGATAGAATAGCGTTGGTAAATGGAGTCAACATGTTTCCCTCTTCTTAAAACTTCAAACGTCACAGAAAGCACCATGTAGGTCACTACCTTTTGCATCATGTTGAGTTTGAGAAGGTTGTGACTTACTGGGAAGGGCCGCCCTTTTTATATAGCTACCGTACCGCTTGCGTTGACCGCTGAAGGTCACTTGTGTGTCCACCTAAAGGGAACTTGTCAAGTGCTTTTTGGGCTTACCTGCAAGTCAATCAAACATTAACTACATCCGAAGTTCAACTTCATCTTGTAGGAGAAAGTTGTTATTCAAATTATGTCTGATGTTCATCAAATGCAGTTTGGGAACCCAGACTAAAGAGCAGGGAATTGGATGCTATTCCACTTGATGCCTTCTGTTGGAATTCCTTGGTGTGGCAAAGTCGATCGCCTCGAAAACGCAGCTCTCCTCCATGATCATCTCCACCGTGCAGCTCAGAGGAAAATTCTTATCAGCTGTCACAGAGATAAACAAAGAAGGGACTGCAAAATGAAGACGAAAATGATCATGGTTCCATGAAGTATGACGAAGACATCGTTAGAACCTTTGAGATATCTATTATATCGGTCTGTAATCTGGAAGGGAGTAAATTACAATAGCGAGACTACGCTTATTGCACAGTGCTCTGTGGAATAATAAAATCAATTTGAATTGTGGAAAACGTCCAATCCTGGTATATTATGCACCTTATTTATAAAAGCTATTCTAATCGAGCAAAATAGTTCTTTTTATGCATTTTTTCATTTTAATCAATAAAATGTTTTGCTGATTCCTCTCTTTTTACATAAAAAGAAATATGAAACATATTCAGAGGCGAACACTGGGGTACAGCCTTTCAGGTATGTCTGACTGATGGTCCTTTTAATGCAATAAGTTCGACTGGGAGGAGCTTCAACTGCTTTTCCATATTTTTAAGGACGCGTAAATTGATCGGTGATTATTTAAAATAAATTTTGTGATAGATAACCAGATATAACTACAGAGCAACAGAAAGCTAATTTAAGACTGCATATGTATATGTGTGTATATACATATATATATATATATTTATATGTTTATATATATGCATATATTTTATATATATGTATATATATGCATATATAGAGAGAAAGAGAACACAAACACAAACACAGTAACGTGTACACAAAGATGAACAAGAAAACTCACATAGATTTACATAGATAGGTAGATCTTTATGTTTGCATGGATGTATATATGAGTGTGTGTGAAAACCCTCTCAAATAAATAGTCTACCCAGATAGAAATTTATATATTTTCCCGGGCCTGTTTTAAGGCATATAAATTGCTATTTGATTAAAATTTTACACACACACGAACACACAAACACACACACACACACATATATATATACATATATATGTATACATATAATGTATGTGCATGCGTATGTGTGTAAATGAACCTTTTGAAAGTAATAAAAAATCAAAATAAATGGATAACCATATGTGCGGAATACCTCAAAAGGCATACATCACCTCATGGCATTTTCCGGAAATGGTATACCTCTTGTATTTGTTGAAAGATCGATTGTGAAACGTATATTATATATTGTAGGGACTGGAATTCTTTTGTCTATAAGATAATAGAAGGTTGTTGGTTGAGTCAAAGAATCAGATTCACAGTTTCATTTTATTATACAAAAGTCTTTTAAATATTGACAATGTTCATTGAACTTTTCATACACAAAAAATACTTCTTTAGTTTAGGCATGATAGGTGGGTAGAACTGGGGCGTGATATGCTGGCTCAGGGGCGTGGTATGCTGGCTCAGGGGCGTGGTAAGCCTTGGCAGGGGCGTGGTGAGGGACGGCTGCGTGGGCGTCGTAGTGGGCCGTCCCCTCGTAGGAGACGGTGGGGTGGTAGCCAGTCTCGTCGGCGTAGTAAGTGACGGTCTGGACGCGGCCGTCGGGGAGGTGCACGAAGTACTTGCCCTCCGTGTTGTAGCCGTCGCGAGCCTCCGAGTGGCCGAAATGGGTGCCGGCGTAGTCGTCGTTGACGGCGTACTCATAGGCGTAGTGTGGAGGCGTCTAAAGAGAGTGGGAGATCGCCACAGCATTATCGGGATATATTCCTAGATACTCTTTTTATATACAAAATCATTCTTATCATACTCTAGGTACAATGCACTCGTGATCCAAACTACTAAATGCTAATATAGAGAAAGTGGAAAACTTACATCAGGGTAAGCAGGAGCATATCCCTTTCCGTGATGCACAGGAGCATGGTGTACAGGGGCAGCATGGTGTACAGGGGCAGCATGGTGTACAGGAGCAGCATGGTGATGTAGTGGGTGGTGCAGAGAACTCTTAACATGATGACTGGTATCGCCTGAAACGAGGGCGACCACGCCTGCCACCAGCACCAAGCATACCTGTTGGTAAAGATAGAATAGCGTTGGTAAATGGACTCAACATGTTTCCCAGTTCTTAAAATTTCAAATGTCACAGAAAGCACCATCTCAGTCACTACCTTTCGCATCATGTTGAGGTTGAGAAGGTTGTGACTTACTGGGAAGGGCCGCCCTTTTTATATAGCTGCCGCGCCGCTTGCGTTGACCGCTGAAGGTCACTTGTGTGTCCGCCTAAAGGGAACTTGTCAAGTGCTTTTTGGGCTTACCTGCAAGTCAATCAGACATTAACTACATTCGAAGTTCAACTTGATCTTGTAGGAGAAATTTGTTATTCAAATTATGTTTAACGTTCATTACCCAGACTAAAGGGAATTGGATGGTATTCCTCTTTATACCTTCTGTTGGAATTCGTTGGTGTGGCAAGGTCGATCGCTTCGCAAACGGATCATCTCCACCGTGCAATTCAGAGAAGAGGAGTCTTATCAGCTGTCACAGATATAGACAAAGAAGGGACTGCAAAAAGACGACGAAAATTATCATGGTTCCATGAAGTACGACGAAGACATTGTTAGAACCTCTGAGATAGGCATAATATAATAGTCTATATCGGTCTGTAATCTCGAAGGGAGTAAATTGCAATAACTAGACTACGCTTATTGCACAGAGCTCTGTGGAATAATAAAATCAATTTAAATTGTGGGAAACATCCAGTCCTGGTGCATTATGCATCTTATTTATAAAAGCTCTTTTCTAATCGAGCAAAATCATTCTTTTTATGTATTTTTTCCTCTTAATTAATAAAATGTTTGGTTGATTCCTCTCTTTTTACATAAAAAGAAATAAGAAAGATATTCAGAGGTGAACACTGAGTGCAGCCTTTCAGGTACATATACATATATTTTACTCCTCTCTTTTTACATAAAAAAATAAGAAAGATATTCAGAGGTGAACACTGGGGTACAGCTTTTCAGGTATATCTGACTGATTGTCCTTTTGACGCACTAAGTTCAATCAGACTGGGAGAAGCTTCACCGTCTTTCCATATTTTTCAGAAAGCGTAAATTGATCGGTGATCATTTCAAATAAAATTTGTGTGATAGTTGGACAAACAGACATAACTACATATTAACAGAAAGCTTATTTAAGACTGCATATGCATATGCGTGTTTATACATATATATACTTATGCATATGTTTATATATATACATATATTTTATATATATGTATATATGTAGATATATATATAGAGAGAACACAGACACAAATCTAGTAACGTGTACACAAAAATGAATAAGAAAATTCATATAGATATACGTAGTTAGATCTTTATGTTTGCATGCATGTATATATATGTGTGAGTGTTTGTGTGTGTCTGTGTGAGTGTGTGTGTGTTTGTGTGCATGTGTGTGTGTGTTACATATACTTATACATTAATATATACATATATAAGTATGTACGTATGTACTTATCTATGTATAGGTAATGCATACAGACATTTGTAATAAAGCTCTCCAAACACATCCAGTTGATTTCTCGATGAGGACCTGAAATAAATAGTTTACCCAGATAGATACTTAGATATTTTTCCCTGGCCTGTTTTAAGGCATATGCATTGCTATTTGATTAATATTTTACACACACACACACGCACATACACACACACACACATATATATATATATATATATATATATATGTGTGTGTGTGTATGTATACATATAGTGTGTGTGTGCGTGTGTGTGTGCTTGCGTGTGTAAATGAACCTTTTGAAATAAAAAGTTAAAATAAACGGATAACCATATGTGCGGAATACCTCAAAAGGCACATCACATCATGCATTTTCCGGAAATGGTATACATCTTGTATTTATTGAAAGATCGATTGTAAAATGTATATTATGTATTATAGGGACTGGAATTCTTTTGTCTACAAGGGAATAGAAGGTTGATGGTTGAGTCAAAGAATCAGATTTACAGTTTCATTTTATTATATAAAAGTCTTTTAAATATTGACAATGTTCATTGAACTTTTCGTACGTAAAGAACACTTCTTTAGTTTAGGCATAATGGGTGGGTAGAACTGGGGCATGATATGTTGGCTCAGGGGCGTGATATGCTAGTTCAGGGGCATGATATGCTGGTTCGGGGGCGTGGTAAGCCTTGGCAGGGGCGTGGTGAGGGACGGCTGCGTGGGCGTCGTAGTGGGCAGTCCCCTTGTAGGAGACGGTGGGGTGGTAGCCAGTCTCGTCGGCGTAGTAAGTGACGGTCTGGACGCGGCCGTCGGGGAGGTGCACAAAGTACTTGCCCTCCGTGTTGTAGCCGTCGCGAGCCTCCGAGTGGCCGAAGTGGGTGCCGGCGTAGTCGTCGTTGACGGCGTACTCATAGGCGTAGTGTGCAGGCGTCTAAAGAGAGTGGACGTGGTGTTACGTGACATAACTCTTTGCTTCGATAGAAGGTATCTTTTTCAAAAAAGAACTTTCCTCTCATACTATAGATAATATGAAAAATTTAATAAAAAACTGTTAACGTAAATTAAGTTGAACTTACATCAGGATAAGCAGGAGCATATCCTTTTCCGTGATGCACAGGAGCAGCATGATGTACAGGGGCAGCATGGTGTACAGGGGCAGCATGGTGTACAGGGGCAGCATGGTGTACAGGAGTAGCATGGTGCACTGGGGCAGCATGGTGTACAGGAGCTACATGATGTTTTGGAGCAGCATGGTGATGTAGTGGGTGGTGCAGAGAACTCTTAACATGGTGACTGATATCGCCTGAAACGAGGGCGACCACGCCTGCCACCAGCACCAAGCATACCTGTTGGTAAAGATAGAATAGCGTTGGTAAATGGAGTCAACATGTTTCGCAGTTCTTAAAACTTCAAATGTTACAGAAAGCACCATCTCACAGTCACTACCTTTCGCATCATGTTGAGGTTGAGAAGGTTGTGGCTGAGTGGGAAGGGCCGCCCTTTTTATATAGCTGCCGCTCCGCTTGCGTTGACCGCTGAAGGTCACTTGTGTGTCCGCCTAAAGAGAATTTCTCTGAATGCTCATTGGGCTTAACTTCAAGTCAATCAAATATTAACAACGCTCGAGGTACAACTTCATCTTGCAGGAGAAAGTTAACATTCAAATTATGTTTGATGTTCATCAAATGCAGTTAGGAATTTTCGTGGGGCAAGGTCGATCGCTTGGCAAACGCAGCTCTCCTCCATGATCATCTCCACCGTGCAGCTCAGAGAAGTCTTATCGGCTGTCACAGAGATAAACAAAGAAGGGACTACAAAAAGAAGACGAAAATTATCATACGACGAAGACATTGTTTAGGACATCAGAAATATCCCTTATATGAATGTCCATACCGGTCTGAAATCCCGAAGGTAGTACATTACAATAATGAGACTATGCATATTGCACAGTGCTCTGTGGAATAATAAAATCACCACTTTAAATTGTGGGAAACATCCAATCCTCGTGTTTGTTTGTTTTTATGCATTTTTTTCATGCTAATTAATAAAATGTTTTCTTGTTGATTCCTTTCTTTTTACATAAGACACAAGAAAGATATTCAGAGGTGAACACTGGGGTGCAGCCTTTCAGGTATGTCTGATTGATGGTCCTTTTAATTCAATAAATTCAGTGAGACTGGGGGAAGCTTCAACCTTTTTTTCCAAAATATTTTGCAGAGCGCGTAAATTGACCGGTGATCATTTCAAATTAAATTTATGTGATAGACAGATAGACAAACATACATAACTATAGTTTGACAAAAAGTTTACTTAAGACTGCATTGGTATATATAGAGAGAACACAGACACAAACACAGTAACGTGTACACAAAGATAAATAAGGAATTTCACATAAATAGACAGATGGATCTGTATGTATGGATGTATACATATCTATATGTATGTGTGTGTGTATGTACTCATGTGAATATGTGTGTATGCATGTGTATATGTGTGTATGCATGTGTATGAGTGCATATGCATGAGTGTGTGTGTGCACACACACACATATACATAGATCTATACATAAATAAGTATGTAAGTATGTAACTATCTATGTATAGGTAATATATATACAGACATTTGCAAAAAATGTCAGCTCTCCAACACATCCAGTTGATTTCTCAACGAAGACCCTCTTAAATCCAGAGTTAAATCCAAAGTTCCCCCAGATAGATGCTTAGATATTTTTCCAGGCCTGTTTTAAGGCATGGAAATTACTATTTGATTAAAAATTTACATACACGGACACACGAACATATATGTGTGTGCGTGTATGTGTTTGTATGTATATATGTGTGTAACTGATTTTTTTTTTTAAGTAACAAAAATTGAAAATAAACGAATAACCATATGTGCGAAATACCTCAAAAGGCAATGGTATATGTCTTGTATTTTCCTTGAAGGATCGATTACGAAATGTCATAGTATGTATAATAGGAACTGGAATTCTCTTGTCTCTGAGAGACTTTTGACTGAATGGAAGGTTACTTGAGTCAAAGTATCAGGTTCAAAGTTTCATTTTATTATATAAAAATCTTTTAAATATTGACAATGTTCATTGAACTTTTCGCACACAACGAATATTTCTTTAGCTTAGGCATGATAGGTGGGTAGAACTGGGGCATGATATGTTGGCTCAGGGGCGTGATATGCTGGTTCAGGGGCGTGGTATGCTGGTTCATGGGCGTGATATGCTGGTTCGGGGGCGTGGTAAGCCTTGGCAGGGGTGTGGTGAGGGACGGCTGCGTGGGCGTCGTAGTGAGCCGTCCCCTCGTAGGAGACGGTGGGGTGGTAGCCAGTCTCGTCGGCGTAGTAAGTGACGGTCTGGACGCGGCCGTCGGGGAGGTGCACGAAGTACTTGCCCTCCGTGTTGTAGCCGTCGCGAGCCTCCGAGTGGCCGAAGTGGGTGCCGGCGTAGTCGTCGTTGACGGCGTACTCATAGGCGTAGTGTGGAGGCTTCTAAAGAGAGTGGGAGATCGCCTCAGAATTATCAAGATATATTCTTTTTATATACAAAACCATTCTTATCATAATCTAGGTACAATGCACTCGTGATCCAAACTGCTAAATTCTAATATAGAGAAAGTGGAAAACTTACATCAGGGTAAGCAGGAGCATATCCCTTTCCGTGATGCACAGGAGCAGCACGGTGTACAGGGGCAGCATGGTGTACAGGGGCAGCATGATGTACAGGAGAAGCATGATGTACAGGGGCAGCATGGTGCACTGGGACAGCATGGTGTACAGGGGCTACATGATGTTTTGGAGCAGCATGGTGATGTAGTGGGTGGTGCAGAGAACTCTTAACATGGTGACTGATATCGCCTGAAACCAGGGCGACCACGCCTGCCACCAGCACCAGGCCTACCTGTTGGTAAAGATAGAATAGCGTTGGTAAATAGACTCAACATGTTTCCCACTTCTTAAAGTGCTCAAATGTCACAGAAAGCACCATCTTTGTCACTACCTTTTGTATCATGTTGAGTTTGAGAAGGTTGTGACTTACTGGGAAGGGCCGCCCTTTTTATATAGCTACCGTGCCGCTTGCGTTGACCGCTGAAGGTCACTTGTGTGTCCGCTTAAAAAAATGCTTTTTAGGCTTACCTGCAAGTCAATCAGACATTAATTACATTCGAAGTTCAACTTCATCTTGTAGGAGAAAGTTAACATTCAAATTATGTTTGATGTTCATCAAATGCAGTTTGGAAAGAAACCCAGATTAAAGAGCAGGGAATTGGATGCTATTCCACTTGATGCCTTCTGTTGGAATTCCTTGGTGTGGCAAGGTCGATCGCCTCGAAAACGCAGCTCTCCTCCATGATCATCTCCACCGTGCAGCTCAGAGAAGAGGAGTCTTATCAGCTGTCACAGAGATAAACAAAGAAGGGACTCCAAAAAGAAGACGAAAAGGATCATGTTTCCATGAAGTACAACGAAGACATTGTTAGAACATCTGAGATATCCATTACATGATAGTCTATGTCGGTCTGTAATCTGGAAGGAGTAAATTACAATAGCGAGACTACGATTATTGCACAGTGCTCTGTGGAATAATAAAATCACTTTAAATTGTGGAAAACTTCCAGTCCTGGTGCATTATGCACCTTATTTACAAAAGCTCTTTTCTAATCGAGCAAAAAAGTTTTTTATGCATTTTCTTTTTTCATTTTAATTAATAAAATGTTTTGTTGATTCCTCTCTTTTTACACAAGAAGAAATTTGAAAGATATTCATGGGTGAACACAGGGGTGCAGCCTTTCAGGTTTGTCTGACTGATGGTCCTTTTAATGCAATAAGTTCAGTCAGACTGGGAGAAGCTTCACCGTCTTTCCATATTTTTCAGGACGCGTAAATTGATCGGTGATCATTTCAAATAAAATTTGTGATAGACAACCAGACATAATTACAGAATAACATAAAGCTTATTTAAGACTGCATATGTATATGCGTGTTTATACACACACACACACACACACACACACATATATATATATATATAATTATGTATGTTTATATATAAGCACATATTTAATATATATGTATATATATGCATATATATATAGAGAGAACACAGTAACGTGTACACAAAGATGAACAAGAAAATTTACATAGATATACATAGATAAGTAGATCTTTATGTTTGCATGCATGTATACATATGTGTGTGTGTTTGTGTGCATGAGTGTGTGTGTTGCAGATACATATACATCGATATATACGTACATAAACATGTACGTATGTATTTATCTATGTATAGATAATATATACAGATATTTGTAATGCAGCTCTCCAGACATATCCGGTTGATTTTTCTATGAAAACCCTTTCAACTAAATAGTTTACCCAGATAAATGTTTAGATATTTTCCTGGGTCTGTTTTATTAAATTGTTATTTAATAAAAATTTTACACACACATACATATACATATATATGTATACATATAGTGTATGTGCGTGTGTGTGTGTGTCTGCGTGCGTCTGTTTGTAAATGAACTTTTTGAAAGTAATAGTAAATTTAAATAAACGGATAACCATATGTGCAGAATATCCGAGAAAGCATACATCACCTCATGGCATTTTCCGGAAATGGTATACCTCTTGTATTTGTTGAAAGATCGATTGTGAAATGTCATATTATGAATCATAGGAACTGGAATTCTTTTGTCTACAAGATAATAGAAGGTTGTTGGTTGAGTCAAAAAATCAGATTCACAGTTTCATTTTATTATACAAAAGTCTTTTAAATATTGACAATGTTCATTAAACTTTTCGTACATAAAGAATACTTCTTTAGTTTAGGCATGATAGGTGGGTAGAACTGGGGCATGATATGTTGGCTCAGGGGTGTGATATGCTGGTTCAGGGGCATGATATGCTGGTTCGGGAGCGTGGTAGGTCTTGACAGGGGCGTGGTGAGGGACGGCTGCGTGGGCGTCGTAGTGGGCCGTCCCCTCGTAGGAGACGGTGGGATGGTAGCCAGTCTCGTCGGCGTAGTAAGTGACGGTCTGGACGCGGCCGTCGGGGAGGTGCACGAAGTACTTGCCCTCCGTGTTGTAGCCGTCGCGAGCCTCCGAGTGGCCGAAGTGGGTGCCGGCGTAGTCGTCGTTGACGGCGTACTCATAGGCGTAGTGTGGAGGCTTCTAAAGAGAGTGGGAGATCGCCTTAGCATTATCAGGATATATTCCTAAATACTCTTTTTATATACAAAACCATTCTTATCATACTCTAGGTACAATGCACTCGTGAACCAAACTACTAAATGCTAATATAGAGAAAGTGGAAAACTTACATCAGGGTAAGCAGGAGCATATCCCTTTCCGTGATGCACAGGAGCATGGTGTACAGGGGCAGCATGGTGTACAGGGGCAGCATGGTGCACTGGGGCAGCATGGTGTACAGGGGCTACATGATGTTTTGGAGCCGCGTGGCGATGTAGTGGGTGGTGCAGAGAACTCTTAACATGATGACTGGTATCGCCTGAAACGAGGGCGATCACGCCTGCCACCAGCACTAAGCATACCTGTTGGTAAAGATAGAATAGCGTTGGTAAATAGAGTCAACATGTTTCCCAGTTCTTAAAATTACAAATGTCACAGAAAGCACCATCTCAGTCACTACCTTTCGCATCATGTTGAGTTTGAGAAGGTTGTGACTTACTGGGAAGGGCCGCCCTTTTTATATAGCTGCCGCGCCGCTTGCGTTGACCGCTGAAGGTCACTTGTGTGTCTGCCTAAAGGGAACTTGGGTTTACCTGCAAGTCAATCAGGCATTAACTACATTCGAAGTTCAACTTGATCTTGTAGGAGAAAGTTATTCAAATTATGTTTAATGTTCATTACCCAGAGTAAAGGGAATTGGATGGTATTCCTCTTTATACCTTCTGTTGGAATTCGTTGGTGTGGCAAGGTCGATCGCCTCGCAAACGCCGCTCTCCCCCATGATCATCTCCACCGTGCAATTCAGAGAAGAGGAGTCTTATCAGCTGTCACAGATATAGACAAAGAAGGGACTGCAAAAAGACGACGAAAATTATCATGGTTCCATGAAGTACGACGAAGACATTGTTAGAACCTCTGAGATAGGCATTATATGATAGTCTATATCGGTCTGTAATCTGGAAGGGAGTAAATTGCAATAGCGAGACTACGCTTATTGCACAGAGCTCTGTGGTATAATAAAATCACTTTAAATTGTGGGAAACATCCAGTCCTGGTGCATTATGCACCTTATTTATAAAAGCTGTTTTCTAATCGAGCAAAATAGTTCTTTTTATGCATTTTTTCCTCTTAATTAATAAAATGTTTTGTTGATTCCTCTCTTTTTACATAAAAAGAAATAAGAAAGATATTCAGAGGTGAACACTGGGGTACAGCCTTTCAGGTATATCTGACTGATTGTCCTTTTAACGCAATAAGTTCAGTCAGACTGGGAGAAGCTTCACCGTCTTTCCATATTTTTCAGGACGCGTAAATTGATCGGTGATCATTTCAAATAAAATTTGTGTGATAGTTACACAAACAGACATAACTACAGATTAAAAGAAAGCTTACTTAAGACTGCATATGTATATGCGTGTTTATACATATATATACTTATGCATATGTTTGTATATATACATATATTTTATATATATGTATATATGTAGATATATATATAGAGAGAACACAGACACAAATCTAGTAACGTGTACACAAAAATGAATAAGAAAATTCACATAGATATACGTACCTAGATGTATATATGCATGTATATATATATGTGTGAGTGTTTGTGTGTGTCTGTGTGAATGTTTGTGTGTGTCTGTGTGAGTGTGTGTTTGTGTGCATGTGTGTTTGTGTTACATATACATATACATTGATATATACATATATAAGTATGTACGTATGTACTTATCTATGTATAGGTAATGCATACAGACATTTGTAATACAGCTCTCCAAACACATCCAGTTAATTTCTCGATGAGGACCTGAAATAAATGGTTTACCCAGATAGATACTTAGATATTTTTCCCTGGTCTGTTTTAAGGCATATACATTGCTATTTGATTAATATTTTACACACACACACACACACACACATATATATATATATATATATATATATATATATATATATATATGTGTGTGTGTGTGTGTGTGTGTGTGTGTATATATACATATAGTGTGTGTGTGCGTGTGTGTGTAAATGAACCTTTTGAAAATAAAAGTTAAAATAAACGGATAACCATATGTGCGGAATACCTCAAAAGGCACATCACATGCATTTTCCGGAAATGGTATACCTCTTGTATTTGTTGAAAGATCGATTGTGAAATGTCATATTATGTATTATAGGATTTGGAATTCCTTTGCCTATAAGAGACTTTTCACTGAATAAAAGGTTACTTGAGTCAAATAATCAGATTTACAGTTTCATTTTATTATACAAATGTATTTTAAATATTGACAATGTTCTTTGAACTTTTCGTACATAAAGAATATTTCTTTAGCTTAAGCATGATAGGTGGGTAGAACTGGGGCATGATATGTTGGCTCAGGGGCGTGATATGCTGGTTCGGGGGCATGGTAAGCCTTGGCAGGGGCGTGGTGAGGTACGGCTGCGTGGGCGTCGTAGTGGGCCGTCCCCTCGTAGGAGACGGTGGGGTGGTAGCCAGTCTCGTCGGCGTAGTAAGTGACGGTCTGGACGCGGCCGTCGGGGAGGTGCACGAAGTACTTGCCCTCTGTCTTGTAGCCGTCGCGAGCCTCCGAGTGGCCGAAGTGGGTGCCGGCGTAGTCGTCGTTGACAGCGTACTCATGGGCGTAGTGTGGAGGCGTCTAAAGAGAGTGGACGTGGTATTACGTGACATAACTCTTTGCTTCGATAGAAGGTATCCTTTTAAAAAAAAACTTTCCTCTCATACTATATATAATATGAAAAAAACAACAACTGTTAAACGTTAATTAACTTACATCAGGATAAGCAGGAGCATATCCTTTTCCATGATGCACAGGAGCAGCATGATGTACAGGCGCAGCATGGTGTACAGGGGCAGCATGGTGTACAGGAGTAGCATGGTGTACTGGGGCAGCATGGTGTATAGGGGCTACATGATGTTTTGGAGCAGCATGGTGATCTAGTGGGTGGTGCAGTGAACTCTTAACATGGTGACTGATTTCGCCTGAAACGAGGGCGACCACGCCTGCCACCAGCACCAAGCATACCTGTTGGTAAAGATAGAATGGCTTGGTAAATGGAGTCAACATGTTTCCCAGTTCTTAAAACTTCAAATATCATAGAAGGCACCATCTCAGAGTCACTACCTTTCGCATCATGTTGAGGTTGAGAAGGTTGTGGCTGAGTGGGAAGGGCCGCCCTTTTTATATAGCTGCCGCGCTGAAGGTCACTTGTGTGTCCGCCTAAAGGGAATTTCTCTGAATGCTCTTTGGGCTTAACTTCAAGTCAATCAAATATTAACAACGCTCGAGGTACAACTTCATCTTGCAAGGGGAAAGTTAACTTTCAAATTATGTTTGATGTTCATCAAATGCAGTTAGGAATTTTCGCGGGGCAAGGTCGATCGCTTGGCAAACGCATCTCTCCTCCATGATCATCTCCACCGTGCATATTGCACAGTACTCTATGGAATAACAAAATCACCACTTTAAATCGTAGAAAACATCCAAACCTCATGTGTTATGCAATACTCACCTTATCTATAATAGCTCTATTTTGTTTGATTAGGAATAACTGAGCAACATAGTTTTTTATGCAATTTCATGCTAATTAATAAAATGTTTTCTTTTTGATTCCTTTCTTTTTACATAAGCAGAGATAAGAAAGAAAAGTATGTCTGACTGATAGACTGGCAGCTAGTTTAACCTTTTTTCTGTAATATTTTTCAGGGCGCTTAAACTAATTGGTAATCTTTTCAAATGACATTTGTGTGACAGACAATCAGACATAACTACAGATTGATAGAAAACTTACTGAAGACTGTATATGCATATGCTAGCATATATATACATACATATACATATATATAGAGAGAACACAAACACAATAACGTGTACACAGAGATAAATAAGAAAATTCACATAGATTTGCATAGATAGATAGGTAGATCTGTGTGTCTGCATGCATGTATATATGTGTATATATATGTGTGTGTGTGTGTGTGCGTGTGTTTGTGTGCATGTGTGTGTGTGTGTACATGTGTATTTGTGTGTGTGTCTGTGTGTATGTGTGTGCGCATACATATACATAGACATATAGATATATAAGTATGTACATATATATCTATGTTTAGGTAATACATATACAGACATTACAATGCAGCTCTCCAACACATCCAGTTGATTTCTCAGTGAAGTCCCTCTGAAATCAATAGTTTACCCAGATAGATGATTAGATATTTTTTCCTGGGCCTGTTTTAAGGCATTTAAATTGTTATTTGACTATAATTTGACACGCACGGACACACATATATACATTTACATATATGTGTGTGTGTGTCTCTGTGTGTGCGCATGTGTGTAAATAAACCATTTAAAAGTAATACAAAGAAAAGAAAAGAAGAACATAACCATATGTGCGAAATACCTCAAAAGGCACACATCACATCATGCATTTTCCGGAAATGGTATACCTCTTGTATTTCTTGAAAGATCGATTGAGAAATTATCAATTATAGGAACTGGAATTCCTTTGCCTATAAGAGACTTTTAACTGAGTAGAAGGTTGTTTAAGTCAAATAATCAGATTCACAGTTTCATTTTATTATACAAAAGTCTTTTAAATATTGACAATGATCATTTAACTTTTCGTACATAAAAAATACTTCTTTAGCTTAGGCATGATAGGTGGGTAGAACTGGGGCATGATATGCTGGTTCAGGGGCGTGGTATATTGGCTCAGGTGCGTGATATGCTGGTTCAGGGGCGTGGTATGTTGGCTCAGGGGCGTGGTAAGCCTTGGCAGGGGCGTGTATATATATACATATATATGTATACATATAGTGTATGTGCGTGTGTGTGTTTGCGTGCGTATGCGTGTGTGTAAATGAACCTTATGAAAGTAATAAAAAATCAAAATAAATGGATAACCATATGTGCGGAATACCTTTACACGGCATACATCGGCTTATAAGAGACTTTTAACTGAATAGAAGGTTGTTTAAGTCAAAGAATCAGATTCACAGTTTCATTTTATTAGACAAAAGTCTTTTAAATATTGACAATGTTCATTGAACTTTTGGTACACAAAGAATACTTCTTTAGTTTAGGCATGATAGGTGGGTAGAACTGGGGCATGATATGCTGGTTCAGGGGCGTGGTATGCTGGCTCAGGGGCGTGATATGTTGGCCCAGGGGCGTGATATGCTGGTTCAGGGGCGTGGTATGTTGGCTCAGGGGCGTGGTAAGCCTTGGCAGGGGCGTGTATATATATACATATATATGTATACATATAGTGTATGTGCGTGTGTGTGTGTTTGCGTGCGTATGCGTGTGTGTAAATGAACCTTATGAAAGTAATAAAGAATCAAAATAAATGGATAACCATATGTGCGGAATACCTTTAAACGGCATACATCGGCTTATAAGAGACTTTTAACTGAATAGAAGGTTGTTTAAGTCAAAGAATCAGATTCAC